AAAAAAGCAAAATCCCGGGCTGGAGCTGCAGCTCAGAGGCAGAGCACCTGCCTAGCATGCGTGAGGCACTACTGGGTTCCATTCTCGGCACCATATAAAAATAAACAAAAAGGCCATCTACAACTACAAAAAAAAAAAATTTTTAATTAAAAAAAAAAAAGCAGAATCCAAATAGTGCACACAGGAGAGACAAATCAGAAACTTGCCTTTCTTAGCTCTTATTACAGGTTTATTATAATTGACATATGGATGAGACCACCATAATCTTGACAATGCTTTGGGCCTCTAGATGTTACTGGTATGAATAAATATTTGTTATAAGTGAGAAATCAATTTTGTTATTTCCATTGCCTGGCACAGATAGCAGCTGCCGTACTTCATGTGTTATGAATGAATGAATGAATGAATGGGCTCTGTGAGTGTGGCAGGCCAGTCTGAAGCTAACTCCAAGAGTCCCTCACATGAACTCCAAACCCTGCCCCTCCCTCTTCCCAGCCCAATGGCCCTAGCCCCTACCCCAGCAGCTCTGGATGCTGTCCCGGACTTCCAGCCCCCTGCAGTCTGGAGAGAGAGATCACAGAAATGCCTCCAGTGGGACTGGGCACCAAAGACAGAAAGGGGGGCAATCCAACCCATGGGGAACACCCTGTCCCCTAAATACTACCCACATCTATCCAGTGCACAAAGCTCTTCCGGAGGGGCCGGAAAACTGTGTCACATGGGGAGAGGAGGCCTGAGGGACTGAATCAGTCCCTTGAGAGGATGCAAACCCAGACTCCTGCCTGAGATGAATGGTGAATGGGAAAGAGGGTAAAAGCAGGAGGGGAGTGCCTGGAGGGGACAGAAACTCGGAAGCTAGGATGTGGGGCTTCTGAGGTTCTGCAGGCACTTACCAGGCAGCTGCTCTGTGATGTTGAGTTCTTTCTGATACCTGGGCTGAGTATAGGACCAGATTCGTACCTCAGCTCCCACAGCAGCCTCAAAGCAGTCAAAGACTACAGAGCCCTGTGAGGAAAGGGTGGTAGAAGGCTAGAGAGAGGCCCTGGTAAAGGGCTCAGAATCCAGACTGAGGGCTTGGGCTTCTCTGCATGGACCACTCTGCTCACCACCTGCCTTTCCTAACCAATGACTCCATTGTACCAAATACCCTGAAATCTACCATCAGAGTTCCCACTGAAGGTCTCCAATTCTGAAGCAAACATCCTCTGTGGCAGCGTGGGCAAGGCAAGAATGGGCTCTAGCTATCCCAGTCCCTGCCCTGACCTCTGCTGGCTTGGACCACTTGTCCAAAGCTAAGCTGATGAGATACCCAGCACAAATGTGGCTCACCCCTCCCTATAGAAGTGGTTCCAATACCCAGTGCCTCAGTAGGACTGTGGTGGGCTAAGAATTTCTCCCATTTTACAATTTTCCAGCTGGGGCCTAGGTGTGCAGGAGTAGTCATAGAGTTTGAGTGATCTAAGTCTAGCAAAGAGCTCTTGGAACCATGTGTGATGTCCTGAGGCGGGGAGAAGTCCCAACACCTTGAACCAGGTGTATATACCATGGGATGGCAGGATTATTATTCAAGAGTTTGGAGAATTGCATGCAGACTACAAACTACCCCTCTCCAAGCCTCAGTCTCTCTATCTGGAAAATAAGGGTGATAACAATGCCTCGTTCATGGGGGATAGTTCTCAGTATTACAAAAGAAAGGAAAAAAATTATTGATATCCTTCAGCACTGGGTATTATACAAAGTATATTACAGATAATAATTTATTTAATTCTTAAAACAGCCATATGCAGGGCTGGGGATATAGCTCAGTAGGTAAAGTGCTTGTCTTGCATGCACAGGGCCCTGGTTCAGTCCCCAGCACCAAAAAAACAAAACAAAGAAAACCCAGCCGTATGCAGTAGGACTATTTTTTTTAAAGTAGTAACCCCCCAAATTTATTTATTTTTGTGTGGAACTAGGGACTGAATCCAGGAGCAGTTTACCACTGAGCTAGATCCCCAGGCTTTTTTATATATTTTATTGAGACAGGGCCTTGTTAAATTGCAGAGGCCAGCCTTGAACTAGTGATCCTCCTGTCTTAGCCACACTAGTAGCTGGGGTTACAGGCAACTAAGAAAAAAGAGAGAGAAAAAAAAAGAGGGGGGAAGGAGGGAGGGAGGAAGGGAGATGGAGAGGAGGGAGAGAGGAAGGAAAGAAAGAAAGGAAGGAAGGAAGGGGAAAAAGAAAGAAGGAAGAATGACAAGAGAGAAAAAAACATAATGATAAACCACTATACACATAGTAGAATGGCTAAATTTTACAATTATAATACCAGTGTTGACAAAGACGGGAAGCAATTAGAACTCCCATGTACTGCTAATAGGTATGAAATAGTAGAACTCTCCTTGATAGTTTTTCATAAAGTCAAACATATGAGGTAGGATATTCTCATCCCCATTTTACAGACAGAAAAACTGAGGCACGAAGGGAAATAATGCTTATGAAAGTGTTTTCTAGAGTTCATATCTAGCAGGTGGTTAGTCTGGTTGTGAGAAGGAGGGTTTCACATACCACAGACTGACCAGGCTGCACCAGGGCAGCAGGCGCTTGCACCTCCAGCAGGACACAGCGGGTAGTAGGGTAGGCATGGAAGGACAGCACGACTTGGGCCTGCAGAGAGGCTGTGAGCAACAGGCAGGTGTCAGGCAGACCAGGGATGTGGGCAGGGACCAGGGACCCTGGTGAGGGCCAGTTGGGCCAGCAGGTTCTTCTTACCATTCATAGGCTCCTCAAGCTCCAGGTCAGCTGCTCCTTCAAATTTTTCTTCCTCTCCAGGCTCTTCCCAATGCTCTGGAAGGACCAGAGAGCAAGGACCAGATCAGATCCCCAGCTCTGGGCTGGCTTTAGGCGTGGCTTCCTTCTAAAAATTCCAGTGCTGAGAAGCATGGGCTAAGCCTCGAGAGACCAGGTGGACCTTGGGGTCCTTTGGCCAGTCATCTCAACACTGAAGATGCTTATTACTGCCCGACATACTCCCTGGCTCTCATGCCTGCGCTAGACATGCTGACATGTACACTTGCAGTCTCAGGATGACTCACTCACCTTGCACGGCCAAGTGGACAACCACACGTACACATAGGTCACAGTTTGTCTCCTGGTGGCACCTCAGCACTAGCTCTGTCTGCAGGCGCGTGGGCACCAGCACAGGGCCTGGGGTGGACACGATGCTCCCAGGTAAGCAGAGCACATCACCATCTGTTTATGAAGGGTGGGGTGGAAGCTGAAGTTGTTCAGAACCCAGTTTAGTTGTACCTACATCCCAGAGCACCAAGGAGCCCAGCTGTTCCTGGGATGAGGGTGAGCAGAGTAGGCATGGGGCTAGGAAGGTTTCTCTCCCTTTCATCAACATGGAAAGTTCTTTTCTCTATAAAAGAAGAAATACTGCCGAGCATGGTCGCACATACCCTCAATCCCAGTGGCTTGGGAGGCTGAGGCAGGAGTACCACAAGTTCAAAGCCAGCCTCAGCAACTTAGCGAGGCACTAAGCAACTCAGGGAGACCCTGTCTCTAAATAAAATTCAAAAAAGGGCTGGGGATATGGCTCAGTGTCAAGTTTTCCCCTGAGTTAAATCCCCAGTACCAAAAAAAAAAAAAAAGTGGAGATACTTACCCCAGAGGTGGCAGGAGAGGCCCTTGAAGGGAGGGAAAGTAGAGTCAGAATTTATACCCCCAAGTCTAAGCAACATCCCCTGCCCGAGACCCCTCCACCTCTTTCTGAGGCTCTCTATCTCAAGTCTCCCTCCAGAAGAAGACGGGACCAGCTCCAGCCCCCTTCCTATTCTTCTCTTCCCCCATCCATACCAGACAGACCAGCCAGGGCAGTTCTGGTGGCAGTGGCAGTGACAGGAGCCAGACTAAGGATTTGATGAGCCGTAGCCTGAACCCTGAGCCTCCCCAACCGTCCCAGGGCCTCCGACTCACCAAAGAGCAGCGGGCAGCATCCTGAGGCCCCACAAACCTCTCCAGAGAGACGACCATGGGATTTCGGCCCAATGCCAAGGACAGCAGGAACCAGGGCACAGGCATCTTCCAGGTGCCAGGAAGCACCCAGGCCTGGGGCCCTGTCCTGCCCCCCCCACGGGGGGGCAGACACCCTATCCTAGCCCCCACTCAGCCCAGTGTCTGTGGGCAGTGGAGCTGGAATCCCTCCCCAGCCTCAGGGGTCCCAGCACTTGAGGCTTATGCGCTCCCACTCCTGGGAGCCCTGACTCCAGTCCCAGTTCCAGCCGAGTGCTTTCGATTTGGCTCCCAGCAGGCAACCGGCTGTTCCCGCCCCGCCCTGTCCCTCCCACCCACACCAATCCTGGCTTCCAGCAGTCTTGGACTGGGATGGTGGCCTCTCCTCCTCCTCCATAGCTGACACCTGACTGGGAGGGGACCCCAGGAAGACAGTGCAGCATCATAGCTGAGCAAGGGAATTCCTACTCATCCTGGGAGTCCTAAAAAGGAGCTCCAACTGAATCCAGCCCAGGGCTTGGGCAATCCTGGGGCACTTCCACTTCCCATGTGAACCTGAGATCCCAGGGCCAATGGGTTCCTTCTTAGGGATACCTCGGGTCCCTTTTCACACACTTTCCTGGGTCTCATTATCCCTTTGTGGGACAGGAGCTCTAAAAGGTACCAGAAAGTGGCTTTTCCCCACTGCCCAGACTAGGCTCAAGTATGGTATCGGGGAAGGAAAACAGGATCCAGAGCCAGGCCGAGGTCCTGCCTGTGCTATTGCCATGGCTAGTCACAGGAGGATGAACACACCACCTAGTAGAGCCTGTGTTTCTTCTCCCTCCTCTTGAAAGAATCACTGTGAGGATCCAGGAGATTGCTTGGACCTCCTTTGCCTTGCCCAGGCACTACTTGTGAGAACACATGGTCAAGGGTGTAGGTGTGCAGGCAGAAGATTTGGACTCACAAACTGATACAACTCCCCCATACACCCCATGTCCCCCATACTTCACAGGCTCACAGGGACCCTCTCCCAACTTGGCATTCCAGCCATACTAGAGAAGCATGTTGTGTTCCTTCCTTTATAATGTACACTTTTATTCATATTTCTGGATCTCTGGATCCTGTTCCACCTTTAGCCTTGTCACCCAGGACCAAAGCAACTTTTCCTTGGTCAAGAGTCCTCCCTTGGTCCAAAAAATATGGAGAACCCTGGCCCCAGGTGGTTTTCTTCCAACCCCCTGAAGGACTGACAGCTCTTGCAGTCACCACCCTTGCCCCATCCTCTCCAGCATGGACTAGAGCTCTGGCAGACAGCTCTTCCTGGAGCTTTAGAGAGCTCGAGTGGGAAGAGGGCCCTCTCTCCATCAGAACCTGGGTCTGAGTTCTCAGTTGAAGGGCGCCTCTCTCCCCTAGAGTTTGTAAGAGGCAAGCAAGTCTGAAAAGGAAACTCAAAACTATGAGGCCCAGGCTAGGCCTCTTGGATTAGGAGGCAGACAAGAAGGCTTTTCTGTCAATAGTCCTCAAGAGATCCCCTAAGGAATCCAGGTCCAAAGGCTCATTCTGGGGTTCCAGCCAGTGCCCCTACAGACTGTGGCCACAAACATCTGGGACTGCGGTGGAACCCCGCCGAGCTTTGGCAGCCGAATTTGGAGGCCTCACGTTCTAGTTGGCGGCACAGCTCCAGACGGCCACGCAAGCACTGCTGAGCCCCAAGGTGGCTCCAGCTGGTGGCTCGGGTGGAAGGCCGAGCGCCCAGAGCCCGCAGCAGGCGCGGCAGGTCTCTGAGCAGGCGGTAGCGCGGCAGGGCCCGCAGCGGCTGGGGAATGTCGCCTTTGGCACAGAGCCGACTGAAGTAAGCGAGCAGCAGCAGCGGGCGTGGGGCAGCCCGGAGCAAGGCGCGCAGGGAAGTGGCGCCAGGATCCAGGCCTTGGGTGGGACCAGGGCCTGCGCCACTCCACAGCAGCAGCACGGTGCCCTGCTCCCGTGCTACGCGCGCCTGCGCCGCCCAGAGCCACGGCAATGGGCCCACTCGTGCCATGTGTGTCCCCTCCCACAGGTCTACAATCACGTCGCATCCACCGCCCAGCGCTGTCCGAAGCAGTTCAGCCAGAGCTCCCACTAGGCGCTGCTGAGGTTCTGAGTCCGCCGCGTGCAGGAGCAGCACCAGTCGCGCTCTGCCCCGGCCTGAGGGCGGGAGCAACACCTGAACAGAGTGGGGCGGGGCGGGGCGGGGCGGGGGAGGGCAAGGGACAGCCAGCCCTCTCCTCCCCAGCCTTTCGGCTACACGGTAGAGTGACTCCCCCACCCCCACCCCCCGCCCCGCTGTCTCCTATCTGTGCTGAAGAGTCAGTACCTAGGGCAGCTTGGACCCATAAGGTTCTTGTGGGCTAATTAAATAAAGGCACACCTTATGGAGCACACAACACTTGGCAAGCTCCGTGCAGACTGGAGTTTTGCCCCCCCCCCCCCCTGGCCCACTGTGTTGGTACCAAGACAACCTACACAGAGGACCCTTTGCTCTGCCTTAACCATTTCTGCCCACTAGGGGGCCTGAGAGACTTAGGGGCACAGGTCGGGAGCTGGGGGCGGGGGGTGCGGACAGGAGGGAGCAACTAACCTAGGAGCCAGCACGTTTGAAGCCTCTGGTTACCCCCAGGTGAACATACCTGGCAGTAGGCGCCGGCAGGTGAAGACCAGAACAACGCCCAGTAGGGTGGTGAGGCCCAGCAGTGCCAGGGTCAAGAGCCCCAGGCGTCTATGAGAGACTGAGTCAAGCAGGGTGAGGCCAAACCCAGCTCCTCAGCGCCCAACCTCTGTTAGCTCTCTCCCAAGAACTCACCATCAGGACACAAGAGGTGCTTCCGGGCAAACTGGACATCGGATCTCCACACCTGAGGGCACAGAGCCCCTGCCCTTTGAGCCACAACATCCCTGCCTTCCAGGGGGAGTTGGGTGAGGAGGGGTGGGGACAAGAAGGGAAGTCTCCACTGGCTAGGGGATGCCTTCAGTTCAGGCTGTGTGTATGCCAGTTCCCAGGCTGGCACAGAACAGGGCAGGGGTGGCAAGTGCAAGTGTGATGTGGCCAAATTCAAAAAGTAAATTCACAAAGTTGGCCAGGGCTACAGGAGGGAGCTGGAAAGCAGAAACAATCAGACACCGCTGAGCCCTAGACCATTGTCACCATGCCCAAATGTGGACATAGAGCCCTAGCTTTTCTAATTTTTCAGGAAAAGCTGAAATACAGCTCTAAAAAATATGTAAATATGACAATCATATCCAATTTAAAAAACTATCCTGGCTAAAGCCAGTTTTTCAGACTATATTTTCCATGTTTACTACCTGAGGAGCTAGGGAGTATACACAGAGTGAGGGTAGGAGGATTCCTTACCAGGACACAGCCCCCTGGCCTCAGGAAGGGAATGATGAGGTCCACTGCCACTGGGCCTGAGCCCTGGGTCTGTAGGAACAAACAGCAGAATGATTGTCCCATAGAAGCAAACCTGGCTCTGTACAGCTTCTGAGTCTTTGCCTATGCAGTTTCTCCCCACCCCCAAAATATTCCACCCAGGTTTACAGACCCAAGTGTCACTTCAGTCAAGATTCCTTGGCTACTGCAGCCCCTACTGATCTTTCCCAGATCTCAACTCCTGAAAAGATGTCACACAACACACATCTTCTGAGTGCTACTCTGGGCCAAGCCCTGGGGAAGGTGGCCACAGACATTGTCTCTGTCCTTCAACAGCTCACAAACCAGAGAGGCTAATTCTATGTGCTCCCTTTACTTTCCCACCCAAGAAAGGAGGTAATATTGTGAGGAATTGAGTTATGGAGTCAGAAAAACTACATTCAGGCTTAACTATTGCCTTTGTAATCCTAGCTGTCTGATTTTTGCATGGAAATGATTACCTCTTCTCCCTGAGCCTCAGTTTCTTCATTTGTACCCAGGGAGCAATAATATTTATACATTAATGGGTTGAGGGCACTAAAAGGGGATATGTATATGAATGCTCTTTTAATAAACTGCAGTATATATTCATTTTTTGGTAGTACCTATTACTAGACAGTGAACTTCTGAAGGGTAGAGACTGTGTTATGTACTTCTCCTGTATCTCCCAGAGCTTAATACAGGGTGAGCACTGAGTAGGTCCTCAAATACACGCTGAATTGGACAGAAATGATTGCTATCTGTCTACAAGTGGGATGTGGCTACCCTCTGTGTTCTGAGAAATAGGGGATTTACCAGTCTCCATCTTTGAGGAGCACCCTCTATGCTCTAACCCAGTGCCTCACACCTGTCTCAAACCTAACTCTCCAGTCAGCTTGTAAGCAGATAGTGATATAGTGATTCTCAAATCACTATATATTCCTTTTGATTCTCAAAAGGAAGGTAGTCTTTTTCCACACCTTGCAGAAATACACGAATCAATGGGTTTAGGTCTTACTTTTAGGTTATCCCATATAATTTGGTCTTAAATCCTATGTGTTTGCTACTATCTATCTATTTGGGAATCCATATATATATATATAAAATGCAAAACAAATAAATAACCTGCAAGTGAGCATTTAAGAAAGAACTGGAACAAGCTAGTCATACTGAGTAAGCTTGGTGCTGTGGTTTTGTGGGTATGTTTGATTGTGGTTTTTATATCATATACACAGAAGAGAGTCTATTAGTCAAACTGTTCTTAGTCTACATATTGTGTTAAATCTGTTCACAGTATTGTACAGAGAACACTTTGGCTTCTAGGGGCTCTGACTTTTGAGAGAATCAGAGAACTTCTGCTCAGGTGCCTTGAGGAAATAGGAGAGTGGGTAGAGGAGAGCTGTGTTCAGGGATGACATTAATATGAAATGTGGCAGCAGTTCAGGTGGACTAGAGAATAGCTAAATGTGGAAAGGTCAGTGACAGTACAGGAGCTGAAAGGTTTAGAAATTGCCCATTTGAGGACCCATTGGCTGACAGAGGACCAGCTAAACAAAGGCTGATTGGTAAATAAATTAACCAGATAGAAATCAGGGTTTTGCTTGTCTCCACCCACCCAGGATTTATCTCACCAAGGTGGCATGTAGATGTGTGGGCCATGCTCTAAACAACAGGACCTAGTGGAGCCAGCCCTGGCTGGGCCATACCTGGCTGACACTGTACACAGGGGGAATCAAGGTGTCCGGCCTCAAACCTGGATAGCTCCAGGCAGCACTGAAGGTGGCCTGTATCCTCGAGGAGAAGTGAAGGACCAGCTGTTGGGCCTGGATGTCCATGCTCACATTCCAGGATATGAGAGACCCTGTTTGTGGAAGGTGATTGGGGCTGGGCTATGGTGAACAGGGAAGTCAGTACTGGACTGGGGTTTGTTCAGTCACATCTGGGTAAGGGTAAAATATGGGGAGGGGATTCTAACTGAGGTCATTTATTGACTTACCACTCTGCTGGGGGCATTCAACATGGCTGGTGTTTTCAAAGAAGAACTGAGAAATTCAGAAATGGCAAGTCAGCAAGCTCCAGGAACCACCCACTCCCTCTCCCCCTCCTCTGTTGCCTATGGTTGTACCTTGAAGCAGAGATGGGGGTGTAAGTCCACCTTCTCTAAAACGTACCACTGGGGGAGAGAAGAATATTAGTTAGGAAGAAGGTCTCTGAGTCCCAAGCCTGCCCATCTAAGTGAGGGGAAGGGGGTCTGTCCTCACTCCTTTTGACTCTTGAGCAGTAGCATTGGGGAGGTCTTCACAGACGCCATGCCAATCCTGCCTCTGGCACAGGGAGGCCTCCAGCTTCAGTGGGCAGCGGAGTGTCAGGGCCATGACCATCTGATCGCTCTGGCTGTAGTCAGTAAAGTGCACTGATTTCCAGAAGTCGGAGCCATCTGAGCAGGTGGCAGGGTCAAAGAGTAAGGCCTCGGCCCTGTTCTAGGCCCATCTTGCTGCCCCCATCCCAGTGGCACCAGGAGATGATGTGGGAGTGTCCAGCATGTTTCCTGGCATGAATAGGTACTCAGAGAGTAAACATTACTTCTGAGTCTCTTTGATTACCTTTCTATCCTTTTATTATCCTTCTTTCCATCCTGGCCCCATTACAGCCAGCCCCTTGCTGTACTCCATGCTGGAAATCTGCTTAGGCTCCTTGCAGAACCTGGAATGCCTTCCTTTCCCATCTCTCCTTTCTAAATCCTCCCATTTTCTGAGCCCTGTTCAGGTCCTAGATCCTTTGAGGGAATGTCTTTACTCACAACAGCCTTCATGGGCTTGTCCCCTTTCTGAGGTTATGTCCCAAAGCCTAGCCCTTAATTATAACTCTGCCCTGCATATGCTTCAGGCTGCCTGGTGCTACTTACTTGTGTCAGTGTCCTGTTTCTCCTGGAGGACAATGTGCATGCAGCACTTTAGATGTCACAGACCATCTTCACATGTAATATTTTATTAAAGATTTATAGTTTGAAAATGAAGCAGCACAAGTTCCATGATTTTATATATGAGGACACTAAGGCTCAAAGGAAAATAAGTGGCAGAGCTGAGGGGTGAACCCAAGTCTCTGGCCCTACCTCTTAGGACCACATCCCGGACCTCACCTGACCTTTTCACAGTCCTACAATGCTCAGTACCCTAGGCTTATTGGCAGGCTGATGCACAGACAGAACTGCAGGGGGAAGTGCCTGCATGCCTTCTGGGGCTTCCTCCAATACAGGTGGTGTGTCTGTGTGTGTGTGTGTGTGTGATGGGTGTGTAAGAGAAACAGAGAGAGGGTGTGTGCGCACTACAGTACATACAAGAAGCACTCACAGGCTTTAGGCTGACTCTGGAAAGGACATTTTTTGCGCCTCACAGTGTCCTCTTGCAGGTAGGATGCCTGGGGGAACGGGAGAGAGTCAGGGGAGTGGCATTCCCTGCATCACTCAGACCTAAAACTCATTCTGGTTCTACCTTAGTGTAATGCAAGCTACCCAAGCCAGCAGGGTACCACGGAGGGTAGACAGGGTATGGTGTGGGCAGAGATGGGGAAGAACTCCAGAGTATGAGAGAGATCAGCATGTGAGGGGCTGATACCTCTTCTCCCTGGAGAGAACTAGTCCCAGCAAGAAGAAAATCACAAGGCTCACCTTCCTCAACTTTTACCTGCCCTGGCCTCCACCTTGACCATTCCCAAGGTGCACAGTACCCTTTGTTACCCTCACTCTGAATTGCCCAAGTACCCAACTGCTTTCCAACTGGCAGTTGCTCATTGCTCCAGCTCTCTGCTGTGCCTGCTGTCTGGTCTCTGCAGTGACACTCCCCTGCTTTTTTGTTTTGTTTTGTTTTGTCTAATCCAAACAAGGTTTTGTGCTAGCACCTCAGACTTATACAGAAAGGTGGAGGATTATAATGGAGGGGTAGATGGGAGAAGAATTTGGGGCTAGAACATTCCCCAGAACACACAGTATTTTCTCTATAGGCTGAGCCAGATCTGCACAGGGAATGCTGGATCTGGGTGAGGCTGATTGGATCACCCTTTCACCCTTCAGCAGGACCCTTCCACCTTGGACCACATATGGCTCACAACCCCACTGGTACCAGTCTTCCTAAGCATCTCAGTCACACTCAATCTTTTCCTTCCTTCCTTCCTTCCTTTTTTTTTTTTAAATAGTGCTATGGATAGAACCCAGGACCTTACACATACTGGGCAGTGCTCTACCATTCAGCCACACCTCCAGCCCTATCCAGTTCTTTTAAAAACCTGACTTACTAGAGAGATGCTTGACCGAGGAGCCACCGACAACCCACACATTTTCCTCTGCTCACCTCTATGCACAGACAAGGCAGAAGGAATTCATAAGGCAAGTCTGTAGTGTGGCCCCCAGGAACGATTTTCTGTTGATGAGACAGCAAAGGGTCAGAAGAGACATCTGAGAAAGAGCATATGGGAACCATGAACAAGGGCAAGAGGAAGCTGGGACATTGGCCCACACACTCTATTTTTCTCTTATATGGCATTTATTTCTTACACTGAAAAATTTCCTCTCAGGGTCTCTGTTCTGTATTCTGACCATTTGCTCTAGGTATTCTACTTGGAGTGAGGAGGAAAAAGACAGGAAAAGGAATATGGATTTATTGAGCTCCAACTATATGCCAGACAGTGTATTAGTAGCATTAATTAAGTTAATCCATATACTAATATCAGAGAGAAGTTGTGAGTTATCAACACCACTGAATAAATGAAGAGTGCTGAGGGCCTCTGGGGTATGGCATCAGTCTGTGCAAATTGTATTAACTGTACACATGACATCTGTGGAAACTGGAGGTGGAGGTGAGATGTTAGGGCAAGGGCAGGGAGTTTGAGGGAATGCTCATTCCCTGAGGGGCAGAACAAAGGATGAGAGAAGGGAGGGTATCAAGACATGTCACCACTCTGTTCCCCTTGAGAAGAACCTCTTGTGGGAATTGAAAAGGCTTCTTTTTTAAATTTATTTTTTATTTATAGTTGGACATAATACCTTTATTTCACTTATTTATTTTTATGTGGTGCTGAGGCTCGAACCCAGGGCATCGTGCGTGCAAGGTGAGTGCTCTACCGCTGAGCCACACCCCAGCCCTGAAAAGGCTTCTAATGCAAGCTGAATCACACTGAAGGTCTTATTGGGGGTACAAAACATACTCATTTTGCTACTCATCATTCCTGGTCGCTCCAGGACTCTACCTGCCCCTTTTTTTTCTCTCCTCCCAAGTAACAGGACCCCTGCTTTTCCTATTTAGTCCAAAGAAGGCTTAATCTAGACATCTCAATTTGTCTGGGACAATGACCTTGCTCCCCACTCTCCCCATCTGCTATAGCACTGGGTGTTTTAGCTTCTTTCTTTCTTGTTCTTTTTGTGCATGTGTGCTGGGGATGGAACCCAGGGCCTAATACATGTCAGGGAAGAGCTCTGCCACTGAGCTACTTCCCCAGGCATTTTTAAAATTTTATTTTGAGGCAGGGTCTCCAATAAGCAGGCTGGTGTTGAACTTGCAATCCTCTTGCCTCAGCCTCCCAAGTAGCTAGCATTACAGGTATGTGCCATTGCACCCAGCATGATCTGGCTCTGTTTTACAGAGGGATGACACTCCATACCTGGGCATCAAAGGGACTTCTCAGCTCTTCACACTCCAGTGCCCACTGGTGGCAAAGACGCACGTTGACCTCTGGGCCTGGAGGAATGGTGACCTGAATAGCTCGTGCCTCAGGCAGAAAATCAAAGGAGAACTCAGGTCCTGAGGAGAGTTAGGTACTCAGTTACTTGGGCTGTCACTTGGGCTTAGCAGGTAGCACTACACAACTCAAGCAAACTCCTATTGTTCCCCACACCTACCTTCGTTCCTTTGTGAACCTGGTCTGGGGAGACTCTCCACTACTTCTGGATCCGAATGTTGGGTCCTTTTAGAGCGCAGCCCCTTCTGAAAGATGTCTGGGGAAGGGATGGAAATATGATGGTCCTTCTCAGACAGGGTGCAGCTACCTAGCAGCTTCCACTGAAAGCAGAGAACAAGGTTGGCCTTAGGTCAGGAATCAGGAAATCTGGCTTCTATTTGTGCCTCTGGAACCTGAGGAATCACAGGCAAGTTGAACAACCTCTTTTGGCCTTAGTTTCCCTTACTGTGTAATCTCCACATTTTCAACTTCCCTCATGTGGCTAGAGAACAAAATGAGAGACTAAGAAGCAAAGGGCTGTGGGGTACATGGCAGGGCTGAAACTGGCAGAGAGAGTACCTGAGAAGATGCTGGCATCCTGTGCCTCTGAGAGGACTTGAACTTGTAAGACTTTTTGGATTTCAGCAGCAGGAGGTAGAACCAGGCCCTCTGAAGGCCTGCACAGGGGAGGAGGACATACTCAGTATCTAGGCTTCAATGCCTCTCTCCTATTTGGAGATGTGGTCCAATGTTGGGAAATAAGGCATTCTATTTATTTATTTAGTTTTCATTTATTTATTTATTTATTTATTTGTGGTCCTGAGGATTTAACCCAGTCATGCTCTACCACTGAGGTATATACTCAACCTTTTTATTTGTATTTTTAGACAGGGTCTTGCTAAATTGCCAAGGATGGTCTCAAACTTTCAATCCTCCTGCCTTAGCCTCCTGAGGTGCTGGGATTACAGGTATGTGCCACCACACCCAGATTGTAAATCATCTTATCAAGAAGCATAATGGGGGCTGGGGATGTGGCTCAAGCAGTAGCGCACTCGCCTGGCATGCATGCAGCCCGGGTTCGAGCCTCAGCACCACATAACAAACAAAGATGAGTCCACCGAGAATTAAAAAATAAATATTTAAAAAAAAAAAAAAAGAAGCATAATGATGCCAAGCTTCTTTAATCCTCAAAAGTAAGACATAATGAGGGGCTGGGATTGTGGCTCAGCGGTAGAGCACTCGCCTAGCACCGGCGAAACCTGGGTTCGATCCTCAGCACCATATAAAAATAAAGGCATTGTGTTGTGTCCATCTACACCTAAAAATATAATAAATATTTATATAAAAAGTAAGACATAATGAAAAAACAGTTAATTTATTAAGAAGAGAAAAAGTGATACATGCACATATTCAGAATAGATCATTGTAACATTATTTCTTCTTCTTTTTTTTTTTTTTTTTGTAATGGGGAATGGAACTCAGAGGCACTTTACCATTGAACTACATCCCAAGCCCTTTTTATTTTTTGTTTTGAGACAGGGTCTCACAAAGTTGCCCAGTGACCTCAAAATTGTAATGTTTCTGCCTCAGACTCCTGAATAACTGGTATTACAAGCATGAACCACCATGCCTGGATCAAAGGTAGCATTATTTCTAATAGTGAAAACTTAGAAATTTCTAATTTTTAAGCATTATATGAATATTTAGTATGTAACCATGCAAGGCAATAAAAATATAGTTGAAAAAGAAAGAATATCCTACCTTAAAAATAAAAAGTAATGGGGTTGGGGTTGTGGCTCAGTGGGAGAGTACTTGCCTAGCATATGTAAGGCACTGGGTTTGATCCCCAGCACCATATAAAAAATAATAAATAAAATAAAGGTACTGTGTTCATCTACAACTAAAAATATAAAAATTAAAAAATAGGAAATAATAACCTTCAAGTTAACAGAAATGCCCAAATTTTGAATTGACTGAAGAGATTAACACCTTCACAGAATCATACAGTTACACTTGTGGATATCAGTCATGGTGTAATATTTGAGGATGCTCTAAGTCCCTGTTGAGGTTGACAATTGTTCTACCATGACAGGTCCCATTTGCCTCAGCCTAAGTATCCCACCCCAAAAAAGGTCCCCAGTTCACACCTCCATTGGGCTGTTTCTCATACCTGAGGGCTCTGATACCTGATGCAGGCACAAACAGCAGGGCCAGTACCAGACCCACGCATGCCTTGGCTTTGTGGAGAGAAGGAGAGCCAACTTGGTATGACAGACAGCAGGCACAGAATTTCCTATGCAAGATGGAAAGGAAAGGAAATGATAGGGTGTAAAGAGGTCCCTCAAAAAATAAAAAATAAAGAGGTCTCTCCTCCTTCAGACCAATTAGATGATGATGATGATGATTTTTAACCGTTGGATTTCATGCTGAACTCTGACATTTACATCCTGGACATGTGACTGTGGGCAAGTTATGGGACCTACCTATCTGCCTCTTCATTCATAAAGCAGGGCTATTGTTAGGATCAAGTAAGATGATATGTGAGGAAATGCCTGGCCAAGTAGAATGTACTATAAAATATGAAGGATTAGTTTTGTATTATTTGTATAATTAGTTTTGTATTTTTATGAGTAAAGGACTGGTTAAGGGGAAGAACCACATTCATGGATTGCCAGATGTATCCATGTTCCTCACTTAATCCTCGCCACAGGTCAGAAGAAAGACTGTCTCTGTGGTATAATCAGTTCTCCACCACTACTATATAGCTCAGAATCTGAAGAGGATTTAAGTAAAAGAGGCCACTCATGGAGTTTGGGGTAAACTGCCATGCAAGTCCAGGCTGTCCTGCATGTTTGCACTGATTTATGCTACTTCCCAGGGTGGGAACCAAACAGTACAATAAAGGGCTCACTGGGGATATAGAACAAAAGGGAGTGTAAGAGGCACTAGTAGGGCAGGAAATAAGACTCACCAGGAAAACTCCTGTCCTGAAGGCACAGGGCCCAGCAGCAAAAAGAAGAAAAGAGGTATTAATAGAAGATACTCCCTTTAAGAAGCATTCTCCCTGGGCTCTTTGCCAGGAACTATCCAGTTCTTAATCCCATGGCTAAAAGCCCTCCACCGTGGCTCTTTTCTTCCCAGTTCCACCCTGCCCATGCCCTCAACACACCAGGACCTTGACAATCCCTTCCAGACTTTAGAGGACACACTGTGGCTACCACAAGAACACAGGGACAGAGAAGTAAGAACTGGCAGGTAGAGGAGTGGGGAGCTTTATGCCTGTGCCAGGCAGGTATCCCCCACCCCCCAGCAGTGGCACCTTACCATGTGAGAGGCCAGTAGACAGTGGGTAATCCAGTGTGGCAGGTGGGGGCAGCCAATCCCAGAAGAGGCAGAGAGGCCGATGAGCAGCAGTAGGAGAGGCAGTAGCAGGGTTGCTGGTCTAGGGCTCTCCATGGGCTTCTGGGGGATCAGGGAACCCAGGACATGGCTTTGTGGCCTGAAGGTGGGCAGCAGGGCCTTGCTGTGCAGCAGCGGGAGTAGGAGTACGGTACCAGCAGGAGCCCTCGCCTTACCCTGCCCAGGCCCCGCCCTGCCCCAAAGCTCCTCCTTGATCCTAACCAGCAGGCTAGGTCACATTCCTTCTCCAAGCAAAGGGATTGGGGTTACTTGTTCCCTAGAAAACCTTTCGCTCCCATCTGAAACAATCAGGGGCTCTTGCAGTGGCAGAGAAATAACAGGAAAGGGGCCACTACCAAGTTGGGGGATGGTGTACCCATTTCTTAACCCCTCCTACACCTAAACACCCATCCATTAACATGCTTTTGAATTTAGGTCTCCCATAGACACAAGCTTCTTTCCCTCGCCTGGAGAATTAATAAAGCTATTAAGCAGCACTACTCTACGCTGGATGCTGAAAATTTAGAGGTGAGTGACAAACCATTTTAAAGTTGAGCAAAAAAGAAAAAGAAAAAGACACTATAGGGTGCACAGAAATCTTATATGCCCCAATGTTACCCTGGTTCCCCCATCTGGCTGGCTCTTTCTACCCATTAGACTTTTTGGGCAACGGGTTTTATATCAAGGGCTCTCCAGCTTCAAGGACCCACTAAACAGTACAGCCTGCTAAGGAAGCCCCAGAGCTCATAGATGAGCCCTGGAGCAGAGGGAGCGGGCCCCACACACTGACCTGGTTTCCTGTGGTTTCCGGTGCAGGAAAAGGCTGACAAGGCTCCAATCTTTGTGGGGACCCTCCCCATCATCCCACAGCTTCCTCCCCCTCATGGAGTACTTGAGCTGCTTCAGCCCTAATATTGGTGACACCCACAGTAGAAGGAAAGTTTGGGGGCATACTCAGTATACTCAAAGCATTTTGAGGTTGTTTTTTGTCCCTCGGCGACTTAATCCTAAAAACCCTCAGTAGCCTGATCAAAGCCTTCTTCTATTTCCCTTTTTTAGCTGTTCTGGGTATTGAATCCAGGGACATTCTACTACTGAGCTATTTTATTTTGAGAGTGTCTCATTAAGTTGCCCAGGCCTGGCTCGGAACTTGTTATCCTCCTGCCTCAGCCTCCCAAGTAGCTGGGATTACAGGTACACACCCCCCACCTGGCTCTAACCATGACCTTCTTTTGGCCTAAATGTTCAGGTGCACTACCTGAAGGACTCATCCTATCCATTATCCTAAAAATATCCTCTATCTTTTGAGCTCACTAAAGAATAAAAATTCTTGGGCTGGAGTTGTAGCTCAGTGGTAGAGTGCTTGTCTCGCAAGTGTGAGGCACTTGGTTCAATCCTAGCACCACATAAAAACAAATAAAGGCATTGAATCCATACAACTGAAAAAAAATTATAAAAAAAGATAAAAATTCTTTATGTTTTTCCAATACCTAGTAGTGAATCTCTTAAATTTTGGTGCTCTGTAGTTGAACAAATATAAGTTAGATACATTTCATCTAACTAGTTTATCTGTTTCACACTTCACAAAGCATTTTCCTATCTGAGCCAAGCACCTTATGAGACAGATAAGTGAGAATTATTGTTTTCATTTCATAAAGAGAAATAAGGAAGCAGATGGGAGAGTGATTTAGACAAGGTCAAAGTCTATAGCCCAGGAAGCCCCACTTCTGCTAGGCCCTCGCAACTCAAATGCTCTTTCTAGCATCCTGTGATCTCTTTTCCCACTGCCTGATCCTCTTCTGCTCTTTGAACCGAGGATCTGCCTGACACAGTGCTGTTTTATGGCCTTGGAGCTCATCTGTGCAACAAATTAGTAAAATTTGAAGAGAGAAAAGGTGGTCTAGCCATACCAAGAATGGGCTAGGAGTCACTGGGGGTACAGTTGAGTTGATAGAGTGCTTGCCTCGCATGCACAAGGCCCTGAGTTCAATCCTCAGCACCACAAAATACACACACACACACAAAATAAATAAATAAATAAATAAATAAATAAATAAATGGGCTAGGAAGCCTTGCCCCAAACTCTACAGTACAGTGGCTTTGCTCTATATAAATAATTGAGTTTTTCTAAATCTTGGGCATGAAATGAGAAGCTTGGCTCTATTCTGTAACACTAGTCCTTCTAGACCTCTGAATCCTCCGATTTCAATTTCAAAGTGAAAATATTTGGTTAATTTCTCTCTGACCCTGGTTAAAGCAGAAAAGAAAGAAAGGGAGATTTGAACAAAATGGAGATACCAGGGAAAGTTGGGAGAGGGAAGGGAAAGGGGAGAAGGAGAAAAGGAGCATGTAGAAAAGGAATAAAGATGAAAAAAATAGGGAAAAAGAGAAAAGTAGGTCTACATTTTATTGTTTTCCTGGCTTACTATTTTAATATTTATTTTTTAGATATAGGTGGACACAATGTCTTTATTTTACTTTATGTAGAGCTGAGGATCAAACCCAGTGCCTCATGCACGCTAGGCGCACACTTTACCTCTGAGCCATAACCCCAACCCTCCTGGCTTTCTTTTATTTATTTAGTGTGGAACCTGTTCCCAAAAGGATTTAAAGTAAAAAAGCATAGGAATGAATTCCAGGACATCCTGAGGAAGAGTGGGGGACGAGATCAATAATGCTAAACTCCTATGATGAGGTTCAGCATCAAATGCTTTGCTCACTTAATCTCATTTTATTGGCACTAAAACCCCTGAGGTCAGGCTTATGACCCAATTATATTGCCGGGAAACACTCAGGGGAATTAGGTGACTTGTTCCAACACACAACTGAATATACCACCCTATCTCCCTGTCTTCCCGTTTTTTTTTTTTTTTTTCCTGCCAGAACACACTGCTTGGAATCAGAGGTTTCTGGATCCTGTTGACCACAGAAGGTACTAGATTTAGCGGTGTTGGCAGAGTAAACAACAAAGAGAAAAATTGGAATGGTTGGAAGAATAAAGGAAAGTAGGCATTATGACAGTGAGAGATCAGCAGTCCCTTCCTTGTAGGAGGGAGGAGACTGGCAAGTGTCAATATGGGAGGAGTAAGTAAGTAACTGGATGGCTGGAATCAGAGGTGGCCAACTAGTATGAAGGCAACAGGGGTGTGGTTTAGGACCTCGGCCCAGAGGCCTTGTGTTCCCTAAGTGTGACTGAGACTTGACCCACCTATGGTTTGTGTCTGAATGACCTGATCAAGACCTCATGGTCTAATAACGCTTACTAGCGGACCAGGCCAGGAACTTGGATCTTCACAGGCCTTTGCACATGCTCAGGTAGAGCACCTGTGGGGGACTTCTGGCACCTTTCCTTCCTTCCTTCCTCCCTCCCTCCCTTTTTTGGTGCTAACCTTGCCATGCAGAGACTCTGGAGAGACCATGGTGCAGCAGTTCCAGGATCTTCCTGACCAATTCTTAAGGTCTGTTGGAGCAACTGTATACACTATTTGTATGTCCTATGTATACCCATTAGGCAAATGTACCGGGGATTAAACTCAGGGGCACTCGACCACTAAGCCACATCCACAGCCCTATCTTGTATTTTATTGAGAGACAGGGTCTCACTGAGTTGCTTAGTGCCTCACTTTTGTTGAGGCTGGCTTTGAACTCCTGCCTCAGTCTCCCAAATCTCTGGGATTACAGGCGTGCCCCATAGGCCTGGCTCTATGTGTGCTTTATTCTAGCAGGAGGCAGAAGCTAAGGGAGGGGAATAAGGTAGAGTTTGCATTTGAAAAAGCTTACTCTGGCTGCTGGGTGGGGACTGGATTGTAATGAGACAAAAGTCAAGGCTGGAAACTAAATGGAAGTTGTTGCAACTGTCCAGGTGGCAAGAGACAGTGACGGACTTAGTGCCAGCCATAGGACAGAGAGCCTAGAGAAGTAGGTTTGGGGTTGAATCATTGGGTCTCGCTGATTGATTGGACAGGCAGGTGTCATGTGACTTTCGGGTTTCTGGCTAAAGCAGAAGTGCTTTTGCGGGCAGGGTGGGGGAGTTGGGAGAGAAGAATATTTAAACTTTTACATGTTTATGTTCAAGGTCTTCATTGGATGGCTCTAAGTACTCTGGTATCCATTACTATAACAAAATACTGAAGGCTGGGTAGTTAATAAAGAAAAGGAGTTCAGGCATGGTGGTGCACACTTGTAATCCCAGCTACTCAGGAGACTGAGGCAGGAGGATTCCAAGTTCAAGGCCAGCCTGGGAATTATAGCAAGACCTTGTGTCAAAATAAAAAGGGTTGAGATGTAGCTCAGTAGTAGTGCAATCCAAAGTACTTATGTTTAAAAGTTTGTTTAGTTGGGTGTGGTGGCGCAGGCCTGTAATCCCAGCAGTTCTGGAGGCTGAGGCATGAGGACCATGAATTCAAAGCCAGCCTCAGCAACAAGGTGCTAAGCAATTCAGTGAGACCCTGTCTCTAAATAAAATACAAAATACAGCTGGGGATATGGCTCAGTGGTTGAATATCCTTGAGTTCAATCTCAGGTAAACCCCCCTCCCTTCCAAAAAAAAAAAGACTGGGGATGTAGCTCAGTACTTGCCCAGCAGGTGTGAGGCTCTGGGTTCAACTTCCCCTCTGCCAAAAGATAGGAATGGAAGATGATGCAAATCTATGCTCTTGGTAGGCTCACTTGAACACAGGGATGCAGGGAAGAGTAATGAATATGAGGCAGAAGGCAAAATTAAATTTGGGACATAAGTTTGAGATAACAGGACAACTAAAGGAAGAGGTTCTGCAGTTAAAACTATCACAAGTATGTAATAAAGACAGTACAGAAATAGAATAAAGAATGACTACAATTTTGGAGAGGGCAGAGCTCTACAGTTGTAGGTCTGGGCATCATTCATACATAATGAAGTGCAAAGGGACATTCATCTTTCATGTAATAAATATTTACTGTGCATCAAACTTCAAAGTGTTATTTCAGTAACAGATTTCTTTTCCACTTCTTTTTTTTAAAATTTTAGTTGTAGATGGACACATTTTTTTGTGGTGCTGAGGATTGAACAAATTACCTCA